AATCTAGAATAAAGCAAAGTAATGGGCTTAGATTCATAGACTCTGTACAGTTTCTGTTATCTTCCCTGGACAATTTAGCTAATGCGAACAATCCCGATGACTTTGCGATAACAAATCAATATACCGATAAGATAACTCGTCATTTGTTGCTAAGAAAAGGTGTATATCCTTACGAATATATGGATGATTGGTCTAGATTCGAAGAAACTGAATTACCACCCCTCGAATCATTCTATAGTAACTTAACAGAATCTAAAATAACAGATGCCGATTATGAACACGCTCTGACGGTGTGGGATAAATTAGGTTGTAAGAATTTAGGCGATTATCACGATCTGTACTTAAAAACCGATGTACTGTTACTCGCAGAATATATTCGAGATATTTAGAAAGACATGTTTAAAACAATACGGCTTGGACCCGGCATGGTACTATTCCAGTCCCGGACTATCGTTGGATGCATTGTTGAAGAAGACCGGCGTACAACTAAAATTACTCACAGATTACGATATGCACTTGTTTATTGAGAAAGGATTAAGAGGGGGTATATCGATGGCAGTGAAAAGGTATTCTAAGGCTAATAATAAATTAGTGGAAGGATACGATCCTAGTAAACCCGACACTCACATATTGTATCTCGACGCTAACAATTTGTACGGATGGGCGATGAGTCAACCTTTACCCACGGGTGGTTTTGATTGGGTCGATGATATCGATAATATCAATGTTATTAATATCCATAATAATGATGCGAATAAAGGGTACATACTAGAAGTTGACTTGGAATATCCAAGTTCATTACATAAAGACCATAACAGTTATCCGCTAGCTCCCGAAAGATTAATGGTTAATAAAGATTGGATGTCGGAATATCAACGCTCCTTGATGGGTAATAGTAGGTTAGCTAACGTAGAAAAACTCGTACCAAATTTGATGGATAAGACAAAATATATAGTTCACTACAGAAATCTCCAGTTGTATCTATCGTTAGGTATGAAACTAAAGAAAATACACAGAGTTCTAAAGTTTGATCAAAGTCCTTGGATGGAGCCCTATATAAGGTTGAACACAGATTTAAGAAAGATAGCTACCAGCGATTTCGAAAAGAATCTGTATAAGCTCATGAATAACTCGGTATTTGGTAAAACTATGGAGAATCTAAGGAAGCGTGTTGATGTTAAATTAGTCAGATCTAATGAGGAAGAAAGACTCAGGAAACTTATAGCCAGTCCGGCTTTTAACAGAAGCAAGATATTCGATAACGACTTAGCCGCGTTGCATATGCAGAAGAGTAATATAAAATTCAACAGACCGGTGTACGTCGGTATGAGTATACTCTACTTGTCAAAACACTTAATGTATGACTTTTATTACAACGAACTTAAGAAGCAATACGGCGATAGATGCGAGGTGTTATATACCGACACAGATTCTTTGTTGATGGAAATACAAACCGAGGATGTGTATAAAGATATGGCAGAAAAAATAGATATGTACGACACGAGCGATTACCCAAAAGATAATCCACTGCACAGCGTTGTAAATAAAAAGGTTTTAGGTAAGATGAAGGATGAATGTGCTGGGACCCCTATAGCGGAGTATGTAGGATTAAGACCTAAGATGTATTCTATAAAGAAGTCCGATAATGGGGAGATAAGAAAAGCCAAGGGTGTTAAAAAGTATGTGGTAAAAAAGCATATTAAACACGAACAGTAAAAAGAATCATTATTCAACGGTAGAACGTTCAAACACGAGATGAACTCTTTAAGAAGTTACAACTTAATCTCATGACTATCATTGAATCGCATCATCATTTACGCATAAAAAATTCTCTCTGTAGTAGCAGTATAGGTACATGAATCTGGCTCCAGTGGAAGTGAGCCAGAACCCCCATTACCTATACTACTTCTTGCACAGTTGCCATTTCTGTTGCTGGTGCATTAATTGTGATATCCTGTCCAAGAATTTATTGTCCGATTTGTTGGATCATGCATTCTGACAAGAATCCAGGGTTAGTTTTGCTGGTGTGCACTTGCGACTTCAAAATCAGTAGAAAGGTCAGCTGCCACAACTGGGGGGTGGACCTTTACACCACACACCTTCCCTTTTCCCCCACAGTGTAGATAGGAAGTTGTTGATCAGAAGGCTCAATTGTTCGCCTCTTTTCTTTCTTGTCCACATTGGTTTTTGATTTGTGTCCATACATGTCAGAGAAGTTGGCTGAACTGTTATGCCATTGACACAATGTGATGTCCCTGATCCACTTCGAACTTCCTCTTGTCTGTCAATGTTGTCAAAATCAAGTGCAGTTGAACAGACTGATAGTTGCTTGCTGGAAGAGGTACTTCATCAATGTCTTCATGTTCCATCTTGTAAATACACAGCGCAGTGTCAATCTCCTCCAAGATTGAGTATGAACAAGAGTGTCCCAAGCGATTTAGAGTATTGATCAGCTCTACATTACCTGTCACAGTTTTGATAACCCATGGAAGTAGAATGCGCTTTGGCGTTATTACTTTGCGTTATTAATGTCCTGCATTTTATTTATCGGTTAACTGACAACAGACAGTAGTGTCACATGTAAATGGGGAAATATATTTTTGTTGCACAATTTTAGGTTTCATTATGAGTAATTAAACTTCATATGAAACAAAAAAAATTTTTTTTTTTTTTTATTCTTGCAGGGCTTTAAATGGATGTTTATTTTGGTAATATCTGCAAAAAATTTTTTATTTATTTTTAAATTGAAATGCAGAGATTTCATCACGTGGGGTAGCAGCTGGAAATTTGTGTGTAAATTTTGAGCAAGGAAAACAGGCTTTGCAATGCAAGAAAACAAAGTAATTTCTGTGATCGCAAATTATTATAAATACAACATACAACTGCGATCAATCACAAAATTTTAATACTATGTAAAGTCATAACGCTGGAGTAAAACATTCTTAATTTCTTTGAATAATGAAAAATATAAAAAAGCAAAAGATATTTCAATACAATTTTATAACAGAAACATTTATTACACAAAACCATATAAATTGTCCATAAAAATGTGTGGAATTTAGTGCCGGACACATTTCATTACACAAATTCAATGGAGCTATTTGGAAAAGAATGGTGGCCATCTTGAAAATGGCGGCCAAAATGACATTTAGCTGGACATATCGGATGTCCATAAGGTGATTTCATGTTGTATGGACATCAAGCTATCTGAAAACCACAATGGAAATTTGTCCCCCCATTTAGTAGTCAAACATAAAAATCAGGGGTCTGGGTCATGGACTAAGATGGCATCAACAGCAAGATAGGCCGTGTAAGGGTAGGAGGCAGGAACTCGTTTCCATACGGGATTTAACGGGCGAGCTCTTGAAAAGAGAAGAAACTGACATAAAATGTGTCCAGTATTACAGAAACAGTTGCACTGTTGAAACGGGCCAAGTATTTTGTTGGACAGATAAAAGTTATCACTGCTTCAAGACATGCAACTGTGAGGGGAAACAACAAATCTTTCTTCATCTTAAGCTGCAGCCGGGTTTTTTTCACGTAGCACCAAGCAACATTACAAGACTGGAACTGTCATCAGACACACGTGGCATTCCCAAATCCGGTCGTCCACTTATCACAACTAGAGCACAGTACAGATTCCTACAGGCTAGGTCACTTACGTTAAAGAATCACCACGGCCATCTCTGCTACTACGGCAAGACCATGATTGCATAGGATATCAGCCCAGACAGTGAGGAACCGTTGACGCACTGACGGTATTCGTGCCAGACGACCAGTTCGAGGTGTCCTTTTGATAGACCTGCATCATTGGCTGCGACGTCAATGGTGTCACAGTGTATGTCCAAAACTGTGATGGTATACATCATGTTTACAGGTGTCAAGGGGAACGTTATGCACGAACCTACATACAGGGAGTGGATACATTTGGTGGCGGTAGTGTGATGTGGGCAGCAATTTCCTACACTCTGTAGGACAGACTTTCTGCAACTTCTGGAGAACTGAATGGCACAATTTTACACGGATGAGATCATTCGCCGTTCTTCAATTATGCAACAAACGAACGAACGTCATTTTCAAACAAGACCATCTCAGCCACAAGAACCAGAGGTTGTCCCCTGGTTTTAAAGCTTCAACTCTGTCGCCCTTGTCCTACCATTTCTGATCAATTGCTTAATACATGTACATGCATCCGTGTCACAGACCCGTGAAGATCCAGGTAGAGATTAGGTCTTCAGCAGCCATTGCTTGTCGTAAGAGGATCAGGTGGTCAGGCTTGCTGACTTGGTTGGATGCATGTCATTGTATCCCAATTGAGTAGATCGATGCTCATGACATCAATCACTGGATTGTCTGGCCCAGACTCGATTTATTTACAGACCGCTGTCACATTACCGAACGTTAAACCACAAACATTCCAGATGAAACCTGGACTCATCTGTGAACATTTTACTGACTTCTCTTCTGAACCTCAGACGAGATCAACATCAAGCTTGGCGCGCCTGACAGCAACGTGGAATCAGTGAAAGTCAAGGGCGGATGTTAAACTCCCTCAACTGGTTGTGTACAGTTCTGCCAATAGTTGGTGTCAACCCAGGAATTGTTTGAGCTGTTAATGTGGCGGTTTGGTATGAATTCCAGAGATGCATTAACCGAATATGACATCCTGTTCATGTGATAATTTACAGGCCACCCTCATGCAGCTGGAATATTGCTTAGTGCAAAAAACAACAACAAAAACGTATGTTACATTGAAAGCATAGGGAAGTAGAAATCCACTGTCACTAATACAACATTAAAAAATACCACTCAAAGATACGACAAGAGGTATGCCAGTGAGCAGTGAAAACCTTGCTGGATGTTACAGAGCAGGACTTTCATGCAAATATGCACTGACTAAAATCAGTCGTGCCTTTGATTATGTCTCAACATGATCAAACCAAGGGTTTACACAAGAATGCACTCAAAAACAAAGTCTCAAAAAACAACAATACACAGTGTTCTTTTACTTTATAGCATTTCTATTTACTCCGAAATAATTACAATACTAGTTTCATAAATATACAATGCAAAAACTCTTTTCAAATGACATTTGGCAATATGATAGCATGTTTGCAATTCAAATGATTTGTAGATCATAAAATATTCCAATAGTATCTGAACAACATACACTATTACCATAATTATCAGAAGTTACTCTGGAGACACCCCTAAATATCTTTAACATGCTTATTAAAGAAACTGAAGATGAATCAGACAACACAGCCTTCTGTGACAGCACGTTTTGGGTTTTAAATATCATATCTCAGACAGCAGTTTGTTCTCTTACTTCAAAGTGAAACAAACTCATGCATGAACACAAAATTTGTACTTTCACACAGAACAATGACACAATCAAATTTACATGCTAATACTGTCCTCTTGAGATTCAACTTTAATCATTGGATTTGAAATAGTTGATCATTAGATTTGGACCAACTATTAGGGGTGTAACGATACTCTATGCTATAATGACTACAGTATGGACAGTTATTGAGTCATCATATATAGACAACAGTACATCATATATAGATATAAAAAGGTTGACAGGTAGGAAAATAAATTATTTTCTCCTTAAATGTACAAGAGATCTCAAGCCTGTGTTATTAATCAACTTAATTCTACCATACTTATTTTAGTTGTGCTACTAATCTTTTCCAGTAAAAATGGATTAATCAAGAGGGGTCCCATGGCTCCAGAGGTTTGATCCTGTATTCTTAGAATCTAATGCCCCCCCTACATGTTTGCCTTCTAACATTAGGATGGTGACAAAGATCCCTTGACTTTCCTATTTAATTTCCAATACCACTTATACCAGAGATATGCATTGAAACAATGAATAGCGTCGTTACAGCCCTAACTATGGTACAGATAGAACAAGCCTCACTTCTAGTATGTAACATAATGGTACATATGGATGAAAGAGGAACAGTACACACTTCTGCACATGTATATATATTATGATATAGAGAGACAATGGATTACAAAAGGGAGGTAACCAATGTTTCATTTTGAGTCCCACAGGACTATGAATCACACACATATCTACAGTTTACATCCTTCCACTGAAAATGGCCACACACTCAAATCTCATAGACTAAATGCTTCTGTGTATAGCTACTATGTACAGAAAATGCAAAAGTTTAGGTTGGTCTCTTCTCTCCCCACCCCCCCCCCCCCCCGAATACTACACAACTCCATCAGCTCTGACAATGTATCACGATCTCAGGAAATTACATAGGTTGTGCTCACATCAAATACATCTTGCTTTCCAAAATGATCTTAATCATCAACAAATATTTTGATCTGTTTTATGAAGAAATTTTCTATAAAGATGATATCCGATGACTGTTCTACCTGTTGATGACCTGTACAAGACTGTATGCATGAACTGCACGTATTCTGCTTGATGAGCTGACTACTACTCGGTATTCACAATGAACATCTAACCCACACACAATAATGTTCACATCCGTGTTTCTCACAAGTGTCTGTGTCATGTGCTGGCAGAAGAAGCCACTGTTCAATGTCTGTCCGTCACAACTTCTATCAGAAACACTTAGTTCTTATCCTTCTTCTCTTCCTTCTCCTCGGATGATGATGATGATGATGATGTTGAATCACTGGGTTCCTCAGGGGAAGAGGAAGAGGAGGAGGATTCCCTCTCCGACGCCATCTACCACGTTAAAAACAAGAGTCAATCTCAGCATATATGGACAAACTGCCAATACACAAGATAACAGACTGTTGGTGAAAACACATAATTATCACAAGGCTCAGACTTTGTATTCCGCAGAAGCATTGCTGCTTTGTAGGAGACGAAAAATAAGAACATCATGGCCTTGGAATGCCCATGAAAGATAATTCCATGGTTGCAATGTGAAATTTTGTGCGACAGGCGTCCTTACCTTCTTGTAAGCCATCTCGAAGAGTTTGAGTGATGCTTGTTGGAGGTCAGAAGTGACCTCGCGGATGCTGTCGGCTGTCTCGTTGTCCTTGTTGGCCAGCACCTCCCTCACCTTGGTGATCTTCTCCTTCAGCTGGTTGCACTGCCCACACAAACACAGGGTGTAAGACACAAAACCATCTACCAGAATACAGTACAACCTTGTTTACCCTTAACCCCTTCATATTCAGCAAGAGGTCAAATTGTGGATGATTCTTACTCTATGCATCTTTTTGTTTTAAATGGTGTTGTGTTATCACAGCCCATTGAAATTTTCAGTCACAAAACTCAAAGATTTTGTCACCACTAGCTTTTGGGTACACCAAGGTCATATTCATCCTTGCCCCCATTGTTACCATCACTTGCATATTTGAAAATATGTTGTACTCCTGAAATTTGATGTTACCTCAAGGCATGACTCCCCTCCTCACTAATCATCAGCTGCATTGCTCTCCTCCACCCTCCCAACTCCCACCCAACAGACGCCAAAGTAACAGGGTCTGCCTTCACCAAGTAATCGGGTGACCTTTAGCACTTATCGCTATCCTGAGGTTCCTTCTCAGTCTATTTCTAAAACTTTACTTGTGTCTCATGTTTCTGAATCTAAACTTTGCTAATATCAAGGCTCAGACATAAGTTTCCTCATACAAACACAACAGCTTGTAAGAGACGAAAAATAGAAACATCACTGCCTTGTGCCAAGTAGTCAGACTGCTAGGAGGCATACTCACCTCATCAGCTGGCAGTTGGTCCTTGTATTCATCCATCTTTGTCTCTGTATCATGGATGATGCTGTCTGCACTGTTCACTGCCTCCACAACATCCTATAACACACATAACAGAGTCACACCTCAGACCCTCATCATAGTCAAAATTCACAGCACAATATCTCCCCTGGCTGCACTACTCAACCTAATGATCTCCCCTGGCTGCACTACTCAACCCAATGATCTCCCCTGACTGCACTACTCAACCCAATGATCTCCCCTGACTGCACTACTCAACCCAATGATCTCCCCTGACTGCACTACTCAACCCAACAATCTCCCCTGACTGCACTACTCATCCCAACAATCTCCCCTGACTGCACTACTCAACCCAACAATCTCCCCTGACTGCACTACTCAACCTAATGATCTCCCCTGACTGCACTACTCAACCCAACAATCTCCCCTGACTGCACTACTCATCCCAATGATCTCCCCTGACTGCACTACTCATCCCAATGATCTCCCCTGACTGCACTACTCAACCCAATGATCTCCCCTGACTGCACTACTCTGCACTACTCAACCCAATGATCTCCCCTGACTGCACTACTCAACCCAATGATCTCCCCTGACTGCACTACTCAACCCAATTACCGTATATCGCTGTGTATAAGGCGAGTTTTTCGTACCTAAAATGGGGGGGCTAAGAAGGGGAGTCGTCTTATACACGGAGTCAAAGATCTCACATTTTTTTCCACTGGCGATGTCAACCGGCGTCCGATAGCCAGCCCAGCATTTGACAATAAAACTTCGCATTTCGTCCTAAATAACTGTTCCAATAACTATTTCCATACATAAACATGATTTGTATCTCTTTTCCTTGAATAAAGTTTAATAATTTCTGCAAATAAAGTTGAAATGACCCTCGCCTCGATGCATATTGTCAAACCACCTGACACGGTAAAACAATCAACATCCGTGAGTAGAGAGCCGGAAGTACCGGTAAGCATTTGCATATTGCACATGTGACCTAACATGTGATAACCGGTGAAGCTGAAATCAATTCCCGCTGTTTTTACAGTTGTATTAACAAGTGTTGGAGACGGTGTGTACAAGTGATTGTGGAATATACACGCTGAATGTGAAGCAAACATAAGCCTAGTTAGTTACAACATAGTTAATTGGCGATTAAATTACTCACCATTGTCTCTTATATGTTATTACTTCATAAATGAATTTTATTTTACGGGCACCAATTTGGTGTCGTACCGTGTAAACATGAAATGGCGACGTGTGCTGGAGTTACACACGCGACCTATCATTGTAGAAAAAAAACAACGCAAGATAAACATATTTTTATTGCATATCTAAGGTTTGTGTGCGCACTTGTGATGTGTGCGAAATACGCATCAGTCGGAAAGCGCATGTTAAATCTCCAAAGTAACTAACTAACTAACTAACTTGTGATGTCCGTGTGCGAAATACGCTACAGTCGGAAAGCGCACGTTAAATCTTCTATATCAGTCAGACTTGTGATGTGTTTCATTCCCGGTAGCCTTATACACGGAGTATAGGATTTTGGGTTGATTTTTAAGGCGTGTACAGGGGGGTCGTCTTATACGTGGGGTCGCCTTATACACAGCGATATACGGTACCTCCCCTGACTGCAATACTCAACCCAACAATCTCCCCTGACTGCACTACTCAACCAAACGATCTCCCTTGGCTGGACTACTCAACTCAATGATCTCCCCTGACTGCAGTACTCAACGATCTCCCCTGGCTACACTACTCAACCCAATGATCTCCCCTGACTGCACTACTCAACCAAACGATCTCCCTTGGCTGGACTACTCAACGATCACCCCTGGCTACACTACTCAACCCAACGATCTCCCCTGACTGCAGTACTCAACGATCTCCCCTGGCTACACTACTCAACCCAACGATCTCCCCTGACTGCAGTACTCAACGATCTCCCCTGGCTACACTACTCAACCAAACGATCTCCCTTGGCTGGACTACTCAACTCAATGATCTCCCCTGACTGCAGTACTCAACGATCTCCCCTGACTGCAGTACTCAACGATCTCCCCTGGCTACACTACTCAACCCAACAATCTCCCCTGACTGCACTACTCAACCCAACAATCTCCCCTGGCTACACTACTCAACCCAACGATCTCCCCTGGCTACACTACTCAACCCAACGATCTCCCCTGACTGCAGTACTCAACCCAACGATCTCCCCTGACTGCAGTACTCAACGACCTTCCCTGGCTACACTACTCAACCCAACAATCTCCCCTGACTGCACTACTCAACCCAACGATCTCCCCTGACTGCAGTACTCAACCCAACAATCTCCCCTGACTGCAGTACTCAACCCAACAATCTCCCCTGGCTACACTACTCAACCCAATGATCTCCCCTGACTGCAGTACTCAACCCAACAATCTCCCCTGACTGCAGTACTCAACCCAACAATCTCCCCTGGCTACAGTACTCAACCCAACAATCTCCCCTGACTGCACTACTCAACCCAATGATCTCCCCTGACTGCAGTACTCAACCCAACAATCTCCCCTGACTGCAGTACTCAACCCAACGATCTCCCCTGGCTACACTACTCAACCCAACAATCTCCCCTGACTGCACTACTCAACCCAACAATCTCCCCTGGCTACACTACTCAACCCAACAATCTCCCCTGGCTGCACTACTCAACCCAACAATCTCCCCTGACTGCAGTACTCAACCCAACGATCTCCCCTGACTGCACTACTCAACGATCTCCCCTGGCTACACTACTCAACCCAACAATCTCCCCTGACTGCACTACTCAACCCAACAATCTCCCCTGGCTACACTACTCAACCCAACAATCTCCCCTGGCTACACTACTCAACCCAACGATCTCCCCTGACTGCAGTACTCAACGACCTTCCCTGGCTACAGTGCTCAACTGAACAAGCAGTACACCAGAGTGGACTACTCTGTAGACTGTGGCTGTGTGAGGGCCAAAAAGACTATTGCGATATCAATAACTATTGCAAACAACTATTGCAATAACTATTGTCAACCATTACTTTAAAATCTTTTAACAAACAATAAAACATTTCAAACTTTACCAAGTTTTGTTTTATTTTCAAACAGTAAACAATAGCAACCATACCAAAATGAAAAACTTGTAGAATTTTCCTATTCGGAATATTCTATAAGTAATACGTTACCACTGTTATACTGAGGCTGTTGTCTCCCACAACTGCTGATATAGCGAAATCTACCACAGAGATCTCGATTACCCCATGCAGCACGTGCTGCCATGTGACACCCTTCACTCTTGTCTCTTGCGAGAGCAAGTGCTCGGGGGACGGACGGGCGGGCAGCAGCCCAGCGGTAACGTATTACTTATAGAATATTTCCAATAGGAAAATTCTACAAATTACATTAAGTAATACGTTACCACTGTTATACCGAAGCTGACTACCACAGTAGGCGGTGGGGAGCACCTACAACCCGAATCCTGACTGCTAGCGTTCCTTCCGACCAGCGGAAATAAACACCAAGGCGGAAGTACTCGATGCGCATGCACCAAGCTAGGCGTTACCCTATAGGAATACCAAAGCACTGTCAAGCGCATACCGTAAGGCTCAATCGTCATTGCCAAAACGATTGGTAACTCGCAGCGGATGAGAACACAGTATCCGTGTGAGCTAAATCTTAGATCAGGTTAAACAGTCGAAAAGAGGGAAATTAATTTCATTCAGACCGTATATCCCCGAGCAAGCCTACTTAAAGTATGTAATAGGCGTGTGACCTAATTCCAGTATCCGTAAGCATGTATCACAAGATTGGAATACACGACAGACAATTAAATGCATAATTGTCAAAATACAGATAAGGAAAAAACACACAAAAAGCCGCCTCACCTGTGGTGTGAGTGCGCTGGTTTGCAGGACCCCCACTCCTGTACCCACGACGTGGGAACATTGGAGACGACCCAGATTGACCACAGTGCAAGGACTGACGACTGCGGAGTTTGGAATTGCGCTGGACACACCCCCTAGATGACCGCTTGTGCCGCGATCAGCGGCCCAAGACGGTGCACCCCCTCCCCGGCTTCATCAGAAACCTTTCTGAGGTAATGATTGGCAAAAACCGAGTCAGAACGCCAGTAACAACCTCGTAATATTCTGTGAACAGAGATATTCCAGTGTAGGGCAAATGTTGCCGCTAGAGCCCTGACCTCGTGCGGGTTTGACCCCGCTACCGGTAACCCCCGAGACCGGTACGCCAGATTGATGACAGAACGAAGCCACAACGCAATCGGGTTGTGAGTTATGTCAACCGTGCGATTAGGGTTACACGATATGAACAGACGGTCACGCCCTTGTCTACGTGCATTCGAAGCCTTAAGGTAATACTTAAGGGCCCTAACCGGACACAGCGCTCTGTCCTCAGTATCAGCAGGATGTTAGATTTCATTGAGTGATCTTACAGTGAATTCTCTCTCCGTTTGCCCGATTCTCTGATTCTTGGCGACGAAGCCCATGAGCAGGCCTAGGCGGACCGCTCCTTCGTCGCTCCTATTGAATCGTACCTTGGCGACATCAAGTGCATGAATTTCGGATACACGTGCCACTGTGGCAAAGGAGAGGAGAAATGCTGTTTTCCAAGTCACATGCCGGAACGAAGCTCTATGCAAGGGTTCATACAGAGCTTCCATAAGTGATTGCAACACTAGGGAAAGATCCCAGGCCGGTGCCCGAAGGCGGCCCTTCTTAAGATCGTGCTGTTTGAAACCCTTGATAATACCCTGTATCACCGGCTCTTTGGAGAGACTGGTACCCATGCAACGTCCCGTACCGTAGCAACGGACGAGACATAGTTGGCAATGGAACCCCCAGAGAGTTTCCGGGTCTCTCGCAAGTGAGACATGAAACGAGCAATATCCTGAACAGATACCTTATCTGGCGAATGAATGTGATGTTTACAACACCACTTCGTGAAAATAACCCAACGTGCATTATACACCTTCTGGGTAGAATCACGATGCATACTAACATATGCCTGAGACGCCTGACGAGAAAAACCTTTACTCCTCAGACGGT